TTCGGTTCCAGAAGATATCGAAACTAAGGTGATCTTAATGCTGCTGATAAATTTCAGAAACATTTTTGAAGCCTATTATTAAAATACTCAGTTAACTGTGTAAAAAGTTAATGTAAATAGTCGTAATGTTCTTGTATACCCAAACTGTGAGTACCTCAAAAATCGAATATCTCCGTCTAGGCAAGCCAATGGCCGCTAATATTTTAACATTGTTGGTTTGGCAATGAGAGCTTTCATGTGACTCGAATATGTTTCATCTTTTTAACTGACAACACAAATACTTCTATTGTTAGTTCCAAAGTAAGAACTTATAGCTCGCTCATAAAACATAGAAATACTTATCAGAAGGTAAGCGATGTATAAATGATCTATGAAATCTCTCGAGATTATGTAATACGACAAAAAGCGATCTTGAATGAATCGATATGTAGAATACCTACAGCAGTATGTATCTACGAATTTTTTTGACAAGAAATATTGTTGAATAATGGTGAAGTATATACAATGCATCGATTCTGTATGTGTAATCCTTATGTTTTACCTGATAGCGTATCTGTTGTCGATCGAATTTATCAACAAAGAAATGATTTTAAAAGTTAAAATTTTTAGCATTTTTACATCGCACTTAGGACTACATACAGGCAAAGCTTCCATTGAAATCTCCTATGACATGGATTGGGTGCATGTTCCGCATTTGCGTCGTCTCTTTTGTGCAACGACTCCTATAGTGTATCCTTTCGGACCCTTTGGTTGGTGTGGTTCGGTTACAATTAACTCCATGATCACATACGCCTTCTTGAAATTTATATAATGCCATTGAAAGCAGAATGTTTTATGTATTATTATTGTAGAATATAATTAATGTAAGCTTGACTTTGTTTTCAACTGTCAGCCTTTCTCTATCGCTATAGTCCATTACATTACCATACACAGACATATATCCATAACTTAGCTAATCGAATGAAAAAAAACGTAAATTTTCATTACATTCAAATCAAGAATAGTGAGTTTTCAAAGAAAGATTGGCTCAGTTAGTTCTCTTTTTAATGGTTTACTTTTGATTGATGAGTCGAATAAGAATGATAGATAGCGATTTATTTCTCGATAACCGAGACCATCTATCCAATCAATCAAGAGAAACTATTCCAATGCAATCTTATTATTCATTTTTATAATCAAATTTCACCTTTTAATTGAATTATGCAGATCTATATCATCATTACATACGACCGAGTGTAGATGAATAACATCAGTAAAAAAATAATTATTACTGTGTAAATCAAGATTAATCAATTCTTGACTCCATCATCGACATAAAACAAGAGTAAAACCAAGAGTTTTGTTTTGTTCTCTGCTTTCTGTATGACGTCTTTGTGGTTTTTTCTAAAAAATACTTTGAAATTGTTGACGTTTTTTTACAAAATTAATTCTTTTAATAATGAAGCATTTAAGTTTAATATAATCAACAATTTTTCTCCAATACAAAATTTCGTCGACCGAATATATATTAAGTAAACTGTGCTTTTCATCTTATTTCGTTTTTAGTTTTGGAATAACTCACCAGTAGAACAAGGTATCCAAGTACAGTGAAACTTGAAAAACTCGTGAGTTTTTCAAGTTTCACTCGTTTGAATAAGCTTGAAAATCATCAATGAATCGATTTATCTATATTATATGAATAAATTGTATATAAAGAAATTTCACTCATGTAAAATATAATCCAGATCAAAATAAATATGTTTTTATCAGAGATATTTGGGTAGAATAAAGATAAATATTAGATATACTCCTATACGAAACAAATTCACGGAGTAAAAATCATACTATCCAGAGAAAAGACGAAAAAATGAAGTAGTAAATTTTGTCACAATTGTTGTGAAAGTATGTAATTTTGAAGTACCACCGTGTAGTTTTTTGAAAAATTGTATTTCATAAGGTGAATATGGTTGACCAGTGGTGTTAAATATATCATGAAATCATACAAGAGAAATAGACGCATTAATTGGCGATCTCCATGGAAAATATGCTTATGTTTTGCCCGCTACAAGACTCCAATTAATCGCTCCTATTGCTTGTTTACGAAGATAGAATGTATGTGTGTGAAAAGTACTACCTGCTGTTCGAGCCATATACTCTGTACATATTAATGGTCGATTAAATTTACGCAATTCAGTTACTTGCTGCATTGTTTCTATCAATGGTTGGTAATTATGAAATGAAATAATGTCAGATGATTCGAGTTCAAATTGCACTAGTGCACTACTCAAAGAATTTGATGTTATTCCGAAAGTGATTGATTGTCGAGGATTGGCTAAGAGAGCAGCTATGTATATTTCATTGAGAAGAGGTAAAACGACTGGCACTTGTTGACTGCATTCAGATTCATTGTATAAGTTCCAGATGTCCGACCACACGAGGATCATTAGAGAATCGAGTGAGAATGTCGTTTGTATATCTAAAATAAAATTCAAAATCATGTTTCAATTGATGATCATGACAAAATATTAAGTTGTTTTCTGAAAGTAAACAAAATAAAAGATAGTCTGAGAAAGTGTATACTCAATTCATTATAATTATATCAAAGAAGTTTAAGAAAAATGAAATGATTAATCATTTCGAATTGGTTTAAATTTGTTGATTGAACTTTTGTTTTCTCCTAAAAACTGAAATCAAAATTGATTTCGTTATCATTGTTGATTCGAGCTCACATAGGTCATTGATTCTCCTTTTAATACTGAGAGAAAATATCAAGGCAAACTTAAAAAATTCTTTTTTGATTTATAAAGCATATACTTCGTGCAGATACATTTATGTATTTCTTTTTATTTGTGACTTACTGTTTCAAAAAAGGCCATGTAGTATTATCTAATAGCCAGACTTGCCCAGGATACCTAACCCATTGTGAACACCTGGAATAGAGTCTGATTGTGGACCTAACTTCGGATTGGATAACCAGCATTCATCAACGAGAACAAACACTATTTTTATACTAAACCGATCGGCAACAGTGAGAAATACATCTATCTTTTTGTAAAAAGTTTTAGTATCTTGTTGATATAACAGAACATAAAGAAAAACACGCATTATATTCATATTGATTTGTGAAGCCCATTTTAATTCACATTCAATAGTGGAAATGTCAAATGTTTGCCACACGTCGATTACATTAACGGTAGATGAAGGTACAAAATTGGCTCCAAAATACAATGGTTGATTCTTATACCAAAGATTAGCTTGTTCAGGTGTCCAACGAGCACTATCAACTTTGAATACATTGTACAAATACAATATAATCAAGGTCAAAGAAGCTAACATTTGCTTCATCAATAAAATAAATTATGGAATAACAAGATCAGCGAAATTCTTGCTATGATAATAATAAGATAGAAAAAC